GACGGTGACTTCCTGGAAATTAGTTTATGTACGAACGTTCATTGGATAAGGTTATTTAATACAATCTGGTTAAGATGTCTTGATTATTTTCATTGGCAGGGGTGAAAATCAATTGTTTGGAAAGCCCGATCTCATCTGGCTAATGCGTTTGTGCATCATATTTCGTTGATAGTTAGATATTGTTAATGCGCTTAAGAGGCTGATGCTGTATTCATTAAATTGATCATGATAATATACCGGGGAGCGATGGCATGGTTAAGTGATACCATAATTCTCTAGGAACGAAGAGACGATACGTTCTTTAGACGCAAATCCGTAGAAATGACGGATATTTTGTTCTCATTGGTAATAGGAAAATCTGAACTTCGATTTGAACTGTGCGCTTATCTAGTTATTGTCCGTTATTCATAAGGTGCCAAGTATTTCTTAAGCATGGAATTTGCCGGAACCAAATCTGGCATGTTAACTACTTTTATACACACTGCCGCGGAAAACAATATCCACTTTAGAATGGGAAGAATGTTGGATATCAACCATTTTGCGACATCGCCGTGATACCCGTCTGGTCTTGTTTGCACGTAATGTCAGTTTTACAAAACCGGTTCGAGGAAACGACAAAGAAATGCCTCAACCTGTGGTGCCACGCCTACTTCTGTTTTCCGTATGGCGTTTTGGTGTCATTTGTAAGATTCTGCAAAACGCGAATAAATTTTGACCGCCTTCATTTCAAGGTCAAATTGTTCATTGGGCTTTCAAATTTCGCTTGCTTCGTCGAGCGGCGATGGGCGAAGTTGTTGAACTACTTTCTCTCAAAGACGTGCTTCGACCCGGTAAAACTGCGAAAGTTGTTCACCCATTCAACATCGTAACGGCAATGAAATGTGGACTCAATTCTGTGCGGGAGTAATTTAAATTTCACGTCAAATCTTTCAATGAACCTGGCGATCACAGCTACAAAACTGTTTCGGCATATGCCGACAAGCACTCGCATGAATTCAATAACTCACTACTAACATTTGATGCGACTGAGAATTTTATTCTAATACCATTTTCTGTTATTCATGTTGCTCATAAGCTGTTATCTGTTATTGGCTAAAGCCTCATCCGTTGTTCATGTCCTTCGCGACGTTCAAAATGTCTAAATTTTTAAAATATACCTTTGCATATTGTGCTGACGTTTGTAAGCAAATTGCAACTGTATGACGCTCGCGTCAGATATCATTGCATCATATTTCACACGTCGTGGCATGACCACACCAGAACATCATCTCACCCTGACATTTATATATCAGTGGCCTGCCACCGGCTTTTCGGTTAGTTACAGCCATGCACCTTTGGTGAATTACTTGTTAAAGTTAAGTAACAGTTGTAGCAAGATACTTTTACACGTG